AAAATTTTTTTAAATTTTTTTTTTTTTTTTTTTTTTTTTTTTGGGGGGGGGGGGTTGGGGATGGGGCTGAAAATTTGATAGAATGTATTGTCATCGGCAACGAGTCTATGTGCCAAGTTATCTGCTCGATAGGTTGGCGGGAAGTGGGTCAAGTAGTCGTTCATAGATTTTGCCAGCCAGTGTGCCACCCAGTCATCCAAGAATAAAAGTGAAGTTAATATAAATGATTGTATAAAAGGTAAGCGCGCCTTTATGAAAAGTGCGCATTCATCTATTAATAGCCACAAGATTTCCGTTAAAAAAAAGTAGACAGCAAGTGCGAAATTTACATGTAAAATTCACACAAACACACACAAGAGCTTTGTTTTATTTCTTATTCGACATTGACCAAGTGAAGAAATGTAATCGTAGTTCACATTACATCCATCAACATCAACAACAACAACAACAATGAGGGTTTATGTTATCCAAATGATTTAATAATTATAACACACCCTAAACACACGGTGAGTTGTCTATGGAACCAGCATGTCAGAAAACAAGAATCTGGTGGAAACCTAGCACGTGGTGGGGAAGAGATTCAAAAGCCAAATCCAAGAAAGCCAGTAAAGTCTCGTTTACTTACAATGTGGATGATCTCATCGAGAGCAACGCGGGGTTGAAGGCTGACGACGAACCCCCCAGGGCGTCGTGCTGCTCCTGTTGCCAATGCTGCCAGTCTCGAGGCAACAAAGTGAAGCACTTTAAGAAAAGTACCACCCCCTACCCATCGCCTGTTCCGTCGCCCCCAGCCATTGATGTGGACACAATCGAGCTACAAGTGCAAGAATGTGTGGTGGCCGACATAACTGATAAAAACAATGATGGCTGATTGTTAGAAATACTTTTTTTTATCGCAAGGACGACTCCGTACGGTCGGTTTCTTTTGCTCTTGTCCTTGTTTTCGTTTAATTTTTTTTCTTCTAAATTTATAAATCAGAGAGTTGAATACCGTAAGTTAACAATAAAACACCACACACCACTTACTCTCCCACATTATGTTTCTTTTTCGAAGCATGTCATCGATGCCTCTGCCCCACCCCCTTCTTTTTTGTGGGGGAGGCGCGTCAATTTAATTGAATTCAATTACTTTTTTACCTGTAAAAAGAAAATACCGATTTTAACAGGAAACTAATTTAGTGTTAGATAAAGAGTAGAGTTGCATCGATTAATCGGTAAAGAATCGGTAATCTGCCACTTTGCAGATTCATTGTAATGGGCTTTTTAGGGACCGGCTAATCAGCCTACCAAAATTGATAAAAAGATGTTAGGTTTAAATATTGGACCTGTTAAAAAGAGCTTTTATGGGATTTTATGAAATACACATAGGCCTATGTGCTAAATTAGTAATGTATAAGATCTCGGAGCTACCTACCATAACCACCACAGTCTATGGTTTGTTGATTCTGCGACGTCCTCAGTGTAACAATAAATAACTCTCAGAGCCATTGAAATGTATCTTTCGGAAATAGTAAATCACGACTTTCCTTATTTTGATAGAAGTGTCTATTTATATATGTTTACGTTTATAGTATCATTGGATTTAGAGAAACTTTCATCTTCTAAATAATGTATAAACACACACACAAATCCTTTTACACGCCACTGAATAACAAAGAAAACATATTTTCTAAAAAAATGTAACGCAGGTCCTCATATTATTTTTTTCCTTCTTCTATGTACCATTTTAAATCTTAACGGATGTTGATATATTTGTATCTTTATTAAAAATTCACCCAGCCTCATTCCTCGCCCCTGAACAATATTATCAGATAATTGTAAAGCATCGATTTTTTATCAGTAAGAAAATATCTTAACGAATTTTCTCGGGTGAATGTTGTCATGATAGTCATCTGCCAGTCAATGTGTCTTTGATTTGAGAGAAATGTCACTGTGTTAGCTCAAACGGCCGCAGTTGTTCTGTGTGGGTAGCGCACGAGACCGCACTGGTCCAGGGAACTCTGCGGACAAGGGACATAGTTCAGCTAAGGGTTGTTATTTTCAAACCGGTTAATGCTCACGAGTACTCATAATAAAAATAGTTTGATCGTAACACGATGCATACGTGAAGTCATGCGAATCATTGGCAACCTTCATTAGTACAATGAGTGGCACCAAACACTTACCCACATATACAAATCTAAGGAGGCTTGCTTGCTGTCAGCGGGCCGCATGTTTGAGACCCGCTAATTTAGCTGCACATGAACAATATTTATTTGCTATTTAATCTTTTTTTTTTTTCAATTATTATATCAATACATTTATTTAATATTTATATTCACTACTAATTTAAATAAATAGGAGATAGCGGAAAACGCTTTTAAAATAAATTTTTTATTTTTTTATTACGGTATTCTTGCCAAGAGACATACAGTGCAAGATTGTTAGAAATGATGGACCTTTGAATTCCAGTTATTGCAGTGACGTAGGAAGGAAAAAGTGTGTGTGTGGGGGGGGGGGGTGCGGAAACTCAATCTTTATATTGAGGGGGCGACACTTTCGAAAACGTCAGAGCTTTTTCGGGGAAGGGGGTGGCAAAAATCTTGGTCCGCCCCGGACGGCACTAACCTTAGCTACGCCACTGAGTTATTGAGAACCGTTATTCTAATGTAGGCCTGCGAACCGGGTTATTGCTTGACGGTGTTATGACGATTCACCAGCTGCTACACATTGAAAGGGTGGATCAGAGAGATAACAAAAATCTTGAGTAGCTTAGGTGGTAGATAAATGACTTCTCAATTGATGCAAGACGAACACATTAGTACGACATGTGACAGCCATTAATGAAGCCAGGAATACACATTAAGGAAGGGCATATGCACGGGACATTGTTTGGACAGAGACCATGTTATAGGGTTTCTGGTGAAGGTAAGGGGCCGATTTTTATTTCTTCATCTATTGTGCAGTTGAATGTGTAGACGGATGTAGTTTCATAGTTCTATTTATAGGTACCGTAAGCCTAATACTTCATGTTTTTATATAGTTAATAACAGAAAATCACATATCCATACATATCTACTCATGCGTTGCCACCCATCCCCCTTCCCCATCTTTTATATTAAATTCCTGACGTACCTACAAATGACAGTTTATCCCCTTTAAATTTTTATTTTTAAAAAATGGACCAAAGTAGGCCCTATATTTGCGTCAAAATGTATTGACTAACTTGCAGGGCCGCGCCAAGGAAGAGGTGAAAAGGCACTCACCCCAGGTGCAGCCTTAAGGAGGGCGTCAAAATTGACATGGAATTATGTATATTAATCTGTATTCTTGGGGAGCTGAGAGCGCCAAAATGCAGGCTTTGCCCTGGGTGCAGCTTTTGATCCCCCCCGATTCTTACCAACACCAACTCGCCATGTTTCATTGTTTATTTCTTTACTCAGCAACTCATTATGATGGCTATAATCGGACTTGCCTCGCTCTTCCTGTCTGTTGGTTTGTTGGTCTGGTCGTGCGCCGTCACATTTGGTGGGCGAACCTTGCCGAGAGGATACAACTACCAGGATGACATCGACAGCCATAAAGATCGTGCTGACCGAATCATCGACCACGTGTTGACGGGTCCTGCAAAAGGCGAGGTCTACAACAGGCTGGCCCTTATGACCGACACCTTTGGCTACAGGTCGGTTCTCATTTCCCATAGCATGCTAGTGAAACCAGTCGGCTAAGTCATAAAATAAATTTAATTTCAAAACCCTCACATTTTGCCCGCACTTCTAGCATGGTTTTGCTTCACACCAATCTTCGTTATATGAAACATACACTGGCCATGGTAGGTAGAGTTGTATCCAAAATACTGTTTCAATATAAACATTTTCCTGTCGCATACCAAGCCTCGGCGTGTGTTTTTGGAAAAACTGGTGGGGGTGGTAAACCCATACTTCTATCCCCTTCACTGTTTTTGTGTGTTGTGTGTGCATAATTGCACACCACGGTGTCAAAAGTAAGGAAAACTTTAAAATACCTAATCGGTGACGTAGCTAACGTTTGTGACGGGGGGGGGGGGGGCCTTGACTTTCGCCCCCGCTCCCTTACGAAAACTACAGTACAGGGACTACACATGAAACGTAAGCTATATTTCGCCTCATTCGCTAGTGCACCTTATCTAACATCTTCTAAAAGTGCTCTGCAATTGTTCTAAGCACCCCTTTCTTAATATACCGGATGCTATAATAATAAATAAACCTTATGCAATTTAATCTATAAGCTAGTTTTTCTCATTGAATAGCTCTAGTTCGGTTAGCGTGATTCTGATACGTTGATATATCATTTCTAATCGTGTAGACTCTGCGGCTCTGAAAACTTGGAGAAAGCCATCGACTACATGATCGACCAGTTTGAAAAGGACGGCTTGGAAAACGTTCACAAAGAGGCGGTGACCGTCCCGCACTGGGTCCGAGGGAACGAATGGGCAGAAATGTTGACACCTAGAGCCAAACCACTCGCCATTTTAGGCCTCGGCTTTAGTGTGGGGACACCAAAAGATGGAATCACTGGACAAGTCATCGTGGTAACAAAACATAACAAATAGGCCTACTTATTATTTTTATATTATACCGCATAATCCAAAGTCTTAATCAAGACGCATCTATTTTTATTGATATTGTTTATTGGTTTATAAATTATAGTATTACTATTATAATATATACTACAGTGACGACATGTAGTTAAATGGCCTGTCAAAATTTAAAGTAAAGAAAAAAGATTGAGGTGACCACGGATCGTTGAATTATATGTAGATGATATAATGTCAATACGTTTGTATTTAATCAATAGATGCCATTCTTTAGGTATGAAAGTGGAGCGTAATGGTGATTTCAGTTGTCAATAGCGTGCCAAATAATATTCAACGTAACTGCACTAAATGAGATTCTTAAATAGGCCTATACCGCAAGTGTGGCATATTTTTCGTTTCACAGAATTGTTCTTATTTTAATATAACATGGCGTAATAAATCTGCCGTGCAAAAGGGGGGCGAGACTTTTTTTTAGAATATTAATGTATTTCAGAGGCGTGAAAAAGTTGTACGGTTAAATACCCTTTTTTAAAAAGGTGGGGGGGGGGGTTGCAAACTGGGATTCTTATAAGGTTCGTTACTTGGAAGAATGTCTTGTCAACTAACTTTAATAGAAGGCAATAGAAGGTAAGAGTATGCACTGTCTCCGCGATTGTTGGGCGGGCTGTAGGCCTAACTAGTTCAAATACAAAAAGGTCAATTATAGACCTATTTTTTTTTTAATTGGTGTATTAATAAGGGAAGCAAATACTAAATCAATTTTGCCACAATTTAACATTCACCATGGCCTATCTCTTTTTCTCATAATGTTAACTGAGATAGAGAGTTTCCTCATCATGTCCTTGTACTAAGCAACGAAAATTTCGCTTGGGCTTGGGTTATTATTATTATATTACTAAAATCATAGCGATGATTGATCATGATTGTCGTCATTCAGTTTTGTTGTTTTCAAATAAAATAAATGCAAATAAATTGTATTCGGATAAAACTGCACTATCATAACAGGTTCGTACATTTGATGAGTTACACGCAAGAGCAAGTGAAGCAAAGGGGAAAATTGTTGTCTACAATCAAGCGTGGGAAAGCTATGAGTAATGTATTTTGTTACTTATTAGAAGGAAAAAAAATCAATGCAAGTGAATATTTAAGTACCGTTTAAAAATGTGTCGGAATGAATGCGTTTAAAATCAAAACTCACCCTAAGAATATTTAGCTGCAATTGTCAGAGAAATTAAGCTATAATTGAGATTTTGACTGTTCAACAAGCTTACTCTATAGAAGGGAAACTTTGGGTAATTCAAGCCACTGGTCCCTTGCCTACCTTGTGAGGTCCAAAACAATGCTGCACTGCTGTCATAATAATGGCAATTTTTTGTCATTGACAGACATACTTTTTTTAAAAACCAGTGTGTGAGATTTGTATTTTAAATTATTCAATGTCACACATGGCGTGCTATACACTTCAATGTCACACATGGCGTGCTATACACTTCAATGTCACACATGGCGTGCTATACACTTCAATGTCACACATGGCGTGCTATACACTTCAATATCATAAATGGCGTGCTATATACTTTGTTTTGTGTTTTATTGTCCCTCTTATAACTTGACCTTTGATTTTTTTTCATTTGAAAGCCAAAGTGTTCAATACAGGAGTAGGGGTGCCATCGAGGCAGCAAAATGTGGAGCAGTTGCGTCGCTTGTTCGTAGTGCGACACCCTTTTCCATATACAGTCCGCATACTGGTCAACAAGCTTATGATGACAGTACTGAAAAGGTATTTTTTGAACACTTTGTTAAAAGTAGATTTCTTGGTTAAAAATCATGAACATTAGTGAAAATAAAAGCAATCTGATCTGTCAGGAAGTGTGGTTTATTCATAGGATGTCTGTGATTTAAGAAATTTCGTTCCCTCAAGTCAGTTGAATAACTCTGGGAAAAGAAGAAACAGCTGACAGAGTACAATGATAAAATCATTGATACCATATTTTCCGGCGTATAAGACGATCCCTTACTATTCCTGTTAAAATATAAGGTTTGGGCTGTACTCGCCGCCATATATGACTACCCCTCTTTCAACGCACACCAAATGAAAAACATCATATTATTTGATTTCAATATGGTAATTTTAATTCAAATGCTTATGTCATGCAGGTAGTTAGCGGGAAACTGTCACTTATAAACATATGGCTGTTTGTCATCAAACATGTAAACATAAAACAGTGCAAGTGGATTCAACTTTTCCTAATTCAATCTAAAGCTGAAAGGAAAGATGAGACAATAAACCCATGGGGGCTGCCATGTTTCTTGTTCTCTAAGCTGTCAACCAAACTGGAACAAGAGGGCGCCTGTCCCTGAAGTTTCAGCACGCCGTATACCATCTTATAAAGAAGTTTCAGCACGCCGTATACCATCTTATAAAGAAGTTTCAGCACGCCGTATACCATCTTATAAAGAAGTTTCAGCACGCCGTATACCATCTTATAAAGAAGTTTCAGCACGCCGTATACCAGCTTATAAAGAAGTTTCAGCACGCCGTATACCAGCTTATAAGACGATCCCTGACTTTTGAAAAAATTACATGGGTTAAAAAGTCGTCTTATACGCAAGAAAATATGGTACTTAATTGTATGCGTTCCCTCCCAACTCACTTTCCAAAACTGCCTCTGGGGACAAATATTGGTTTAATTTCCCCATAAAATGTTCTTCCCATGTGCAATCAGTGGTTCCACTGTCAATACTCCCCAGATTCCCAGTGCTTGTATCACAGTAGAAGATGCTGAGCTGATGTGGCGTATGTCTGCAAGGGGACAAAATATCACAGTCACACTTTACATGGAGGCACAGAATCTGAATTATGGGACATCATATAATACAGTGGCCGAAATTAAAGGCAGCAAGTATCCTGAGCAGGTAGAAATACATTTATAAAGCACTGAATATATGTTTTAGCTCTGCAGAAATGTTCAAATGGTATTTAAAAAAATTTTTTTTACAAACCTTTCCAGTCGATTTAAAACAAAAATTAAGGCAGAAAAGAACAGGTCAGTTTTTTCTTCTTTCATCATCTGTGAAACTTAAGAAAATGTTCCTTTCCGTTAATCTTTCATATCTTATTTCTAATTTATATTATTAACAATCTGTCTTATAAAATCATTTTTTGTTTTTGTTAGATAGTTCTAGTGAGCGGCCATCTAGACAGCTGGGATGTTGGCCAGGGTGCCATGGATGATGGAGGAGGGGCATTTATCTCATGGGAAGCACTTTCACTTGTGCGCCAGCTTGGCTTCAGACCTAAACGGACGCTTAGAGTTGTGCTGTGGACCTGTGAAGAGTTCGGGGTAGTGGGTGGCCAGGATTACTTTAAAGTACATCGTAATGAAAGTGTCAACATGGACATTGTCATGGAATCCGACATGGGAACATTCACCCCCAAGGGGTTAGAATTCACAGGGTCAGATGAAGCTATGAAAATATTGAGCTACTTGGCCTCAAAACTGTTGGGTAGGGTCAATGCCTCGGTTGTGGACCCAGGGGCAGAGATGTCTGATATCTTTAATTGGCCCGATGTTGGTGTCCCAGCGGCTAGTATAATGACAGACAATGGTAATTACTTTGACTTTCATCACAGCCAAGGGGACACAATGACAGTGCAGAGTACCACAGCAATGGATTTGTGTGCTGCTGTATGGGCTGTGACAGCCTTCACCTTGGCAGATTTAGAGGAAATGTTACCAGCTAACCGGACATTGCCGTAAAGTATAAAGGCACACAAAAAAAAAATATCCAGAATTATTTAATCATGTAAAATAATCTTTTATTATCATTAATATTATGTTATATTTATTTTTTTTAAATTTCATTTGGTTGTTATTAAAACTTTCTGTAGAAAACTGTTTCATCCTAGTTAATTGATTAATTATCTTGTTCCACTATTTTCTTAATTAATTATTATATGCTTTTTATTGTAAGTTTATCATCAATATTTATATTACATAATCTTCTTGTGTATAAATATAATATTATAACTGTTTTAAACAGACTTAATTACATGGTCTTTAGTAAAACACCATTGGGAATAACGTTAAACCAACTGACATGATCAAAAATCTAATTATACTCAAGGTTAGATATATGTGTCAGATTTAATATAAGAATATATTTACAAGCAATGCATTAAGTTTTATGAATGATACAAAGACAGGCTTATATTTATATAAATTTAAATTTTATTGATCTGCATGTAATCATGTTAATACCCTATACCTTTAATTTATGTACAAGAATACGTTTAAAGATAACATCATATATATAAGTTATGAGCATTTTATGGAGACCTTTTAAACAAGATTTTTATATTCAACTAAAAATACAGAAAATAAAAATAAAGATAACATATCAGTAATCAATAACAGCTTTCAAAAGAAATAATGCAGACTCTTGTATCTAAATACTAATAATTCTTCGAGCTTTTAAGAAGGCTGAGATGTTATCAGGTAAAATATTCAATTGTCCATATGAATAGACGCCGATGTTTTCATCAATGTGACACTAGATGCATGAATAGGATTGGTTGGGAAAACTTTAACCGGCAAGTCCCAAACCATGGTCTCTACATTTAAAGTAGATGGGCCCTGCCATTGTCTCTCTTCACCATCTGAAGGCAAGGACTCAGGTCCACTAATATCATCCAATGAGGTGACAAATTCAAAGTGTAGTCGCCATCTTTGGCAAACTAAAGTTAATAAAAAAGTAAATAAATGAGGTTAAATTAAGTTTCAGAGATGAAGCCTGCAGAAAATGTATTGGCTTCTTTAAAATATCTTTTAAAAATTCCTACTTATTAAAATGAATTGTATTTTTTAATCAAATTCAATTATGATGTCTTACCTTCCAAGATATTTAATTTAATCAATATTTCATCATGCACCTATCAATAGTTATTTTTACTCATATTTTTCAATTTCTAGGGATTTATTTTAAAGTCTTGATTTAACGGATAAAATGTCAATGCGCCCCCAAAAAATAAAAACAAACCTATGTCAGTGATAAAGCCAGGAGTGGCAGTTAGGGGTATTGGGATGTTCATATGAGTTCTGATAGTGTGGAGGCACATCTCTTGATGCTTAACGTAGGATGTGACTGCAGTGCCTTGGCTGGGCTTACGCCTACATTCCTCTGAGATCTGTTCTTCACTTTGTAAAGTTACAGAGTACTGAAGAATAGAAGAATTTTATTACTGTTAATTACATTTGCCAAGATTTCACATATCAAATTAAGACGCATTGTTAAGGAGACAACCATTTTTAAAAAGAATGTTAATACTTAAAAACAATTACAATTATCTATAAATTACACTTACTTGAACACAGGTTACAGTTCCAACACTAAAATCAAACATGCCAACAATGTCTTCTCCTAATTTGTAGGCCTGTTTGAAGAGTAAAAATTTCGCCACCCGGCCTCTTGAATTGGTTATGTTATAGGAATCTGGAAAAATAAAGACAAATAATTTAATCCACGTATTTTAAATTTATATATCCAAGGTTATTAAAATATTAACCAGTATTCTAAAAAATTTAGATGACTCGAAACAAATGCAGAAGGTCCTCATTTTAGATGGTTTTGATGTTACTGCGGTCCCAGGCACAAAAAAGGAAAAGAAGATTAATTTATTAATTAAATGTATTATTTTTTTCAGCGCACCACAAGTAAGTACTATTTCATCATGGAAGCTAGTATGTTAGCTCGTGGAACTGCACACAATGTCAAGCATCCCAAATGACCGTCACTTAGCATCCAGACTTCATTGTGATACATAGCCCAAGGTTGTTCGTGTTATTACAATGTCAATTGGAATTTTAATAAAGGCTTCAAAATCGTGTTTCTTCTAATAGTGGTGCTGGTGGATCAAGGAAGAGTATCATGTTAGAGTGTAAAAAACGGAAACCCACCGTAAATTGAGGACCGCCTGTATCAGGGTTGGACTTTTTTTGAGTTTTGCTTTTACACTTTTTTATTATTTAAAAAAAAATTGAAATTTGTTCATGATTTTTTTTTTTTATTTAAGGGATACATGTTTATACTTTACTTATAGCACAATATATGTTTGGATTTGATACGTTTGTCATTTAGGCTTATCTAAAATTATTTTACATTCTTACATTGGGTAAGATATTTTTAAACTTTGTGATGAGAAGACATAATTGTGAATATTTTGAATGATATATTAATAAACAATCAAACATTCAAAATGTATTTTTTAAATCAAATTTTGAAAATCTATAGCAGCGACTCTTACGAGGTGCTTTCCTGGCAGTGACTGTTGATATGACTTGCAAAGCAACGTCTAACACAGAATTTTCTTTTCGATGGTTATGCAAAAAAGGGTTACTGGGAGAAATTTCTTCTGTTTCATTGTAAACACTTATGTCATTTAAACCTGTGAGGAGAAATGTAAAAGAGGGAGATTCATGAAGTGAGTAATGTGGCATAAACTTATTTTTTTTAGCATATGTAAAGCAATATAATTTTTAAATGTGCATATTAGTTACTTTAACATTACAGTATGATTAACATTATGAGCAAAATAACTAAAATAAAAGTCAAGTAAAGAATAACTTATTTATGATTATATATAGTTCTGTGTATAATTTTTAACATAAAGAAAACTTATTACCTACCATATAAGACTAGAACTCTAAAAGGTACACGCACCATCTTTGTACTTTTTTCTAACCTTTGAGTACCAACAATAACTTTGTAGGAATATTTGACAGCCTGTCCTCTAAAAGATGGGGGTGCATCAGTTGGAATAGCTTCTTCAAACTGATCTGGAAAATCAAATATAAATCAATGCAAAAGATCAAAAACAGCCAAATTCGGCAATGAAAAATTTAATTCGATAGTCTCTTTGCAAATAATTTCATTATTAGGGAGAAAGCTGGATTCAAATAAATGTATAAAATTTAGCCTTTCTGTTTCCCATTTAATCAAATACTTACAAGATCTGGACATGCCAGGTGACAGTTTTAAGTCACAGAAGAGAATTTTAGGTTTAGTGCAAAGTACTGTCAAACCTCTCTCCCCTGTAATACATAGATCTTTACTTAATTACACATAACACAACTTGTTTTTATTTGACATTAACATGACATTAATATGCTAACTACATCATTTCTAATATTTCTTAAGATTGAATGGTAGATTGGTATGTCCACAGTAAAAAAGAAATAGTAACAACTTTACCACAAAATGTTTTAATGACACAAAAATCTAAGAGTAGAGAAGTGAGAAGATTTGTGTAACATTCATTTCTTTTATTTTTCTTCTATATAATTCAGCCTGCTCTTGCTGGAGTATTTTAATTTTTTTTTAAAGTTGCATCACAGTCCAACACCTTTTTAATGGCAAACTGCTCCAAGCAAAAAGTCAAATAAATAAATTTCAAATTTCGACTTACCCTTTTAAGTTACATTTTTAGGGACAATGAAATTTAGGAGATTCTTGGGCTACTGAAGTAATTTTGGTTGATAATATTTCAATATTTGGCATTTTTAAAACTGTATAGAGGACATCGGTTATTATAAACAGAAGGAACTGATGGTTTGAAAATAATAGAATGGTATGAAATAGCTATGTTTCCATATAAGATATTATATTACAGAAAACATTTTAAACTTAATCTTTTTAAATAAGTTCCCAACTATTGTGTGTAATACACGAGGATGTTGAGATGTTTATTTTTACAAAGAATTCTTTCTAGTATCTTCTTAATAACAACTCATTGATAGGTTCATTTTAAAAAGTTTAATGGAAAATCAAAAAGGTGGGAACTCCCAATCTAAATTCTACTTATATTTATACATTTACCTATAATGTTGACATAAATAAAACAACACTCCCCTATTGAGCATATTAATCATAGCTCCATTTTGACAATTGACTTGTTTTTTTGCAAACACCTTGTAGTTGTAACATTCAATAAATCAAGACTAACACTTTCCAGTAATGTGTGATCCAAGTTATGACAAACAATGCTCCACATAAAAGGGATTTGAAATAAAATTGGAAAACCAATAGAAATGAAAACACCAAAAAAAAATAAAAAATAAAGAGCAGGTTACAGGAAAGTAGATAATTTATGAAGTTTAAAAAAATGAAAAACTCAATTTCATTTTGACAAACCTTCTCCGTTAAAAATTAGTGTACCTACAGTGAGTAAACAGAACATGCTAACATTTAGCTAGGTAAATCAAATATATATACTAAGACACAACATTCTTTTAAAACTATCCAAAAACAACTAGTGTACTCAAAAAAGAGCATTCTTAACTTTTGTACCCAGTCCTTTGTCTTGTTGATGATCAATTGAACACCAAGGGAAAAAGACAGTATGTTTCAAACAAGAATTATACATTTTAATTAGATTTTTTGGGGTTAAAAAGCAAAGTGAAAACTCAGGTATTGAAAATCTATGTCTACACTAAACAGTCAGAAGTTGTACAGTTCAATGATAAAAAGATTTTCATTTAAATAGCCCTTTAAGTCTGTGCATAAGGGTGTTTTGAATAAGTTTTAACTTAAATATAATTAAATTGTGTCTCACTCTCAAAGAGAGCAGGCATTCTTTTAGGGAATAACTGAATGATAAAGAAAATTATTATTATTATTACAGTGGTCTTACATAACGCGGTACCCCAGCCTAGGGCTGGGCTCACCGCCTGCACATAAAAATATTAGCAAATATAAGCATGACATTCAAAAAGTTACATAAATTTTGTAATAAAAAATCATTTTAAAAAAAATATTCACCCCGCCCACCCCAGAACTATTTACATGTTAAGCTATGGATGGCACCCAGCAGCATCGTTTATCGGTCAGAGGGGGGTGGGAATTAGTCGTGATAGTAGAGTTTGAAGAGATGTGTCTTGAGTGCAGTTTTGAAGGCCTGGAACTGGATGGTCGGTATATTGCGGATGTGTATTGGGAGAGAAGGCCATAGTTTGGGGACGCAGAAAGAAAAAGATCGTTCGCCGTATGTTTTAGTGTACGTCTTGGGAACAGAAAGAATTATGCGTGTCTGCGGAGGAGCGAAGCTGTCAAAGGGGTGAATAGAAATAAGTTCGGTTAGATAGGAAGAGCAGCAATCCGAGAAAAAGTTGTGGCAGAGAACAGAGAGCTTGTAAATGGAGCAAATGAAGTGATTGGAGTAGTGGAGTGACGTGATCATATTTGCTTGATGTCAATGAAATATTACTGCTACATATAAATATAATATATTCTAACTTTTTTTACATAACCTAATTAAAACACAGGTACATGGGAATATCTGTCTTGAAAATTTGTTAAAAAAGAATTAAAATTTCTTTACTTTATACTTTATATACACATCAATCATGAAGATCAAATGAACAAATATACATTTATAGCAATGCATATGTTGCCAAATGTTATACCAAATACCTAGCTTTTAATATTAGTAACTCTTTAGTTGAGCAATGCACAAATACAATAAGCATAATATAAGTAAAGCTTTATTCATTAGCTTCCTGTTGAACAGCCTGTGCATGGACTCTCAATAGAAGGGTTGGATTCAGGTATTACAATACATGACTAGATAATATTAATTACTGGGTTATTAAGAACAACTCTTATGACAGGCGTTTATAATAAATAACGTATAAATGACGTTTATAATCTTCTTGTCATATTTTTTCTATTTTTTTTTAATTCTGCCGATAATTTGTACGTCCTTTCTTGCATGTGTTTAAGACAGGATAAGATCAGATAAGGAGCTTTTATTGATCCAAATAATTGTTAAATTGTTTTGATTACATTGCACATATTATTTTTAGTTTTAAAAGTCTTTTGAGTTTTTGTTATTTTAAAATTGGTCTGTAGCAAGTAGTTAGGAAAAACAAATGTCTTGTAATATTCTCCATAGTTTTTAGGTGAACCATGGTTATGAACCATTTATGCAGATATCTTTTATACTTTAAAATTTAAAGTTAAGTTGAATGATCAATCTGTGCTGCTGAAATGAATAATGGATTAAAAAATTAACACAATTAACACTAAAATATGATAAAACCAATACAGAAGTTAGAAAGTGATGAATGGAAAGTTTACCTTTGTTGGGAACAAAGGATGTTTCACATCCAGTTGTTGAGGCTTCCTCTGTTGACAAAACATTTTTCCGTGGTAGTAAGACACGAGATTCACTGACAGTGCACTGACAGATTATTTGGACACTTGACCAAGCCAAAATTTCATCTCCTGACCTAAACATTTTGAAAAGGAGGGGAAAAGTTATATTATGATAGCAATATGTACATTCTCTTTTTGGGGTAGAGCTAAGGTCTTTTATGGCCTGGCAAGCACATGCCTGCTGCTTCTCGAAAGTGTTGGGCACTTGGCTAGTAAGTGCAATACTGTCTCTCTTGTCTGGCCACAGTCTCTGTAACTCGGTTCATGACGAAAATTTAATCTATTTAAACTATGTTTTTTTAAAATATCAATAAAAAAAAAACAAACAAAAAAAAACTTCCACATATATCAACTATTTAATACTACAAGGAACCTAAAAAAACCTGGATTTCTTATAATAAAAGGAGCAAATAAACATATATTATGGAGTTACAGACTTTTAAAGACATAGAGAATTAACTTGGTAGAAATGAGGCAGGAAGACAATCATTGCTTACTGGTTCTCATTAGCTGTATTAGTGAAAGTTACATCACAGCATAGAGTTTCTCCAGCCAGGAAAACAGGACCTCTAGGCAGGCTGGCTATAACTTCAAGCATGATAACTCTTTACATATCCCTTGAACTAAAATATATTTTAAACCTGTAGCAAATACAATAGTCTTGTGAACATAAATAAAGAATTAACAAAAAACATTTCACAGTCTAGTTTCATGCATACTTTGTTAATTTGTTTAAGCTTTAAGTAAACTACCAGTAATAGAGATAATTACTAAAAAAACTAGTCATAGTTAGTGGTATTAAATATATTTAATAGAAATTAAAAGAATCTTACTGAAAATGCAGTTTTTGCTAAGATTATTACATTAACAGATTTGTAATTATGGTTTCTTGCTCAAAGTAGCCAAAATTGTAAGGGTTCCCTAATAAGTGAAAGTGTATATTCTTTAGGCCTATTATATTTATATGATTCCAATGTGGAAATAAGATAGAGAGATTCTCACTCTTTCCTTTTTGGGAAGCGTTATACGCAGTCGACTGCGCATAACCCGCGCATAACACTGAGGGTTATTCACAGCCGACTGCGTATAACTCTCAGGGTTATACGCAGTCGGCTAGAAATTTAGCCAAATAAGGTTTATCAATCGATTGTTTGGCAATTTTAAAAAAAAGTATTATGCGTAATTAGCCGCATGACGGGTTGTTTTGAACTAGAACTTTTTATGTTTTTAACGTAAAATTTTAATTGAATTAATTTTAATTAATATTGAAATTGATGATAGCAATAGTATTAGTATTAGTGCTATTATTAGTATTATTGCTTGTATCTTATATATTATAATTATAAGTATAAGTCAAAGTCTACATTTCTTAGAGTCTAAGCCTAAGTTTTAGATTTTTTTAAAGGCATTTCCATGTCTAAGTCTAGTTAGGTATTTTGATTGATTAGGTTTTTATATGTTGCTATGACCATGTGGTTGGTTTTACTGACTAATTCAGGAAATACATTCTATTTATTTTTTTTTAAAATTTTATCATTTATGATTTTTTTTTTTTATGACCTAAATGTAACAGTTTTCAGCTTCCATGCAAAACTATAACTGTGTGAAAGTATTACTTACAGTGCCCCCTCTACAGAACCCCTGCCCCTACAGCAATTTTTTTCCTGCTACTCTCAACCCATGATTATATTTATTACTGTACCAGAGAAACATGATTTTATCTGCCACAAAATTAGTTAACAACACAAACATATATTTGATAATTATAAGTATAACATTATTAACATTACATTGGTCAAGTTAATAATTCTTCTCATGTTTTAACATTTTTTAGCCCAAAAAAATAATAAAACAATAAGCCTAGTTGTTTTTGCTTCATTCTCGAGAACAAACATAGCAACTAACGCGTATTCATGGCTTGCCGTTGGCTGGAATTGAACTCAAGACCACCAACTTGAGGTTTGGTCAGTTTGTACCATTCGACCACCCAGTCACCCCAATAACGAGGCACCCTTATTGATTGATACTGTAAAACAGGAAGAATATAGACGTCACGTGACTTGCCGACTGCGTATAACTCTCAGGGTTATACGCAGTCGGCTGCGCATAACCACTTCGTTCCTTTTTTTTTAAAAACTGTCTAAGAGTGGAAGGAAGTGGTGAGGCAGGCCAAAGCCCTACATGGGCTGTAGCACCACAGGGATGGATGGAAGATGACCTAAGCCACAAGTTATGTATGATTATGAAAGTATGATCAATCACAATGATGGCTTGATGGGCCATGTTATTATTATTATTTTATTATTATTATGAATTCTATTTCTATGGCTTGTTATGCAGCCCTCGAAGGCATCAATAAAAAATTAATTTGTTTTTAAGTTATTCTGTTGAATTTTACAGAATTTCACGTTCTGTTATGATTTTAAAACATTTTTGATCAAATTTCTTTCAAATTTAAAAATTTTTCAAACAGTTCTAGACGTTTGTCATGTAATGCTAGAATGTGAATTTACCGATTTTAATATAGAGAAATGCTTATCGACATATAAAAATTGGACATAATATGCATGCTAGCCCCCAAATAGCTTTACATTTGTCGGTAAATGCAAAGAGATATCACCGCCCATGGCCATGGCCGCCATCTTGGTTGACAAGACCAGTTAATTCTGTCACTAAATCTAAATCTAAGTAATTAAAATGTATCCCTAAACCTAACCTGAACCCTAAAATGTATCCCTAAACCTAAACCTAACCCTGAACCCTAATTCAAGTAATTCACATTCACAGCAAGTTCAACAACTTTAATATACACGCAAATGACTTCATAGACTTCATGGTGATATCTCTTACTCTTAGTTTTGATATCTCTTACTCTTAGTTTAGCCAAAAAAAAACTTGTATTTATCACTTATACTATAACTTATTTTTATGACTTATACTTATTGTTATGGACCTATGGCTTTGATACTATGTAAATGTATGTATGAGCCAGTATATGGGATGGCTATACTATATATATATATACTATATAAATATACTATAATACTATACTATACTATACTAACGAATTAATGGCCTTGGATTTGAGATTTGTACTGAAATAAATTGTAAGTCGGACGTAACTTTAACTTTAAGGTCCCAGAGTTCGAAACATACTTTTATTACAATAACGATAAAATATACAACTTGAGTCATCCAAAGGAAGCCACTGAATGTTTTTAGAATGTTGTTAGAGCACTAGTTAGCCTAGTTATATATTAGCCTAGTTGTAGCTACAACAGGATTATTGCCCCGAATGAAACTACGGGACTTTCAAGACAAAAGAGCTCTTTTCCTTTATATTATTATTATTATTTAGGCATTTTTGTATATCGCTTACCTTACAGCTCTAAGCACTTTACAATTATTAAAAATATGTAAACTATTTAAACTGCTAAAGTAAAATAAAAATGAAAAACCAAAGACACTAGAAAAGTAACTACAATGTGAAAAATGACTATAAAAATAGTAGCTAAAACATTAAAATTGCTATAAAAACAAGTACACTTAGCACGTTTGGCATATACTTAAATACAGGATCAACCCGAGACAGAAAATGAGGCAGGAGAAGGAGGGTGCATCACAGGCAGAGGCGTAGCGTGGTGGGGGCAGGGGGCAGATGTCCCCGGGCGCCAGCTAGTTAGGGGCGCCAAAATGTGCTTTGATATTATTTTATTGATGAAAATAATGGGTTTGAGAGTTGAAAAAAAGAAAAAGGGGCGCTAAAAATGGATCTTGTCCCCGGGCGCGAATCTTGTCCCCGGGCGCCAAACACCCTCGCTACGCCACTGATCACAGGTCATAGGCAGACATAAACAGATGGGTTTTAAGTGACTTTTTGAAAGTGGACGAGGTTTCACAATGACGGATGTGGAAGGGGAGCTGGTTCCAGAACGTGGGCGCATGGAAGTAGAAGGAGCGTTCACCGATGGTCTTAGTTTTGGTTTTTGGGATTGAGAGGGTTCTATTGTCAGTTGACAATAGTATATATATGTATGAGCCAGTATATGCAGAGGCGTAGCGAGGGGGGCAGGGGGGACAGATGTTCCCGGGCGCAAGCTAGTTAGGAGCGCCAATATGTGCTTTGATATTATATTATTGGTAAAAATAATAGGTTTGAGAGTTGAAAAACAGAAAAGGGGGCGCTTTAAAATAGATCTTGTCCCCAGGCGCGAATCTTGTCCCTGGGCGCCAAACATCCTCGCTACGCCTCTGAATATATGAGCACAGAAACTTCGAATTCCTAAATTATAATTAAACCTTAAATTAATAATTGTTTATTTTTAACGAATCAAGATTTTTTAAAAATAGTACAAACATATAAGTTATATTTATCTTAGATAACAATCTTAAAGAATCGATATAATTAAATACTGATTATTACACTAGTTTCTAATAGGCCTACTTATATTGTTTTACTTTTTAACATTGGACTAAATTCGATCCAAAAACACATTTATTTATTGGTGGGGGAGGGCTGAAGCCAAACATATGAGAACTTCGAGAACTTCTGTATCTTGTAAGTCTCGTCTAAAAGCACTGGTGTGTTTTTTTTTTATATGAAGTAAAAAAAAAGAGGATAATTGTCATTTGAATACAAAGGGTTGCTAAACAGAACAATCCGTAAATTTACCCTAAAATTGCTCTGAAAAATTCCCGTAAAAGGTTTATGGTGACCATAAAATTTAAGACATTAGTTGAAAACAATCTTTTGAAGTCAGTGTTAGTGTAGCAACACCTAAAATTTTAAAGTTTGTGATTTAATCGTGTTTCCATTAAACTCGTAAGATCGTATTATAAAGGTACAGAAGTTCAAACGGGATGAGAATCTTATAAAAATTACCAAGCTTAATAATGACATACACTGATTAAAACATTGGCATATAAGAAACATGTTTTTACGTATATTTGATATGGGCTGCGGCTATTCGGACCCGGGTCCGAGAAGTGAGAGTTTGGGTTTATTAAAAAAATATTTTAAAAATTATTGTAGGATTTGAAAGACAAAATTTGGTATCAAATGAAAGATAATTGAATACACTTTATTTTTTTGTAAACTTACTTCTTCAGTTTCACTAAAATAAACTACAACAAATGACATCCGAATAGCATGTAGTATTTGTTGTGTAGTAAAAATGGACCCGGACACGCAGCACCGCTTTTCGGACCCGGGTCCCTTTAGATTCCTAGCGCCGGGCCTGGTCTCTGACAACAAGGAGTAGGAGGAAGAAAGTGAAGCCTAGTTCTTGCGAGCCCTTAATGTTTTTATCTGTTATCAATAAAGGTTAAGCAGATTGTAGCGGTTTCACTTTATTGAATTTATTAATTTATAATCGCTTTTTTTTTGGAATACTTGATGCGGCCAAGTCTCACTCAAACTCTACCTAATGCGGCCCCCGGATGATTTTTGATTCCTGCATTTTATTGTATGTGCATTAATGTTATGTATATTGCATTCACAACATAATTTGTTAATCGTCTAGTTAATAGTAAAGTGCCGTTACAGACATCACAGTCAGAAAGTCTAATTACATTGAATGTGAGGTGTGGGTAAATTTTGGTCCCTTATCAGCTTTCTCAACTCATTACATTTAAAATTCAGTTTTGGCCTTTACAAGTCGTCCATAAAATATTAAATTCATTACATTTATAAATCAGTTTTGGCCTTTACAAGCCTTCCATAAAATGTTAAATTTCGTATTTGGCAATAAAGAAATTAGTCTGTTTCCAATCAGACATTGGCTAAAAATATTTCAATATTTATGAAAAGGCTGGGGTGTAGAATATTAGTAAAAAATAAAATTAAGGATAAATAATATTGCATCTATTAAATTTGAATTTTTTAAAGTATTTATTAGTACTTAAAACTTTAGAAAATGTAATATTAAGACAAATTTGTTTAAAATTCATACATCAAACATTATTAATTTTTAAAATTAAAATTATTTGATAATATAAAAAGTTATGTTTCTTAGATGTCTAAAGTATTTACTTACTTCCCTTTAAAAATAAGTAACTATCAAGCACTGCATCTCATATTTGTTAATATTTTATCTCAGTGTGGGACAACCCCCCCCCCCCCCCCCCCCCCCCCCCCTCCCC